TGTTATCGCGGCTTAGAACTTAACCGTTGATAATGCCACATGTAGCCGCCATACTGAGATGTGCGTGGCGTATGTTTGCCATCGCGGTGAAAGGATTTGCCAATGGACGTGCAGTACTCGCCGTTGCCCAGGGTGCGCCAGATGTACCAGGCCCAGTACTTTTGTTCTCCGCTGACATCCGTCCGAAACAACTGTAAAATAAGTAATACTCGACGAAATTAAGATGCGAATGACGCTTCATACTTAACATTGTCTTTCGGTCGAGTGTTACTTATTTGTCATCAATTGTTTCAGACGAATGTCGGACGAAGAACGAGAATAAACCCCCCAGGAATACGATTCGTACGTCTTACGTACGAATCAGAGGTTTCTAGAAAGTATTTTAAATGAAAACTCGGCCACAATATACAATTATTATATATATATATATTGTTATATATATATTGTTCAAAATGAGATCTGATGATGTAATCATTCGTATAGATTGTTGATTTGTGAATATGTTGGTGTATATAGATGAATACCTACGGGATTGGTCTTGTATAGGTGTCAAACTTAGAAACCAAAGATTTAGTCTTTTATTTTCAATATCAACCCTAAGCAGACAAAGAGGCTTCTGAACAACATTACTTTAGTGTGGAGTGAGGTGACAATAAGGATGAAAAAGTGTAATCTTTCTTACTTTCGCGCGAGTGACAAAAGTACCTACCTGCGGGCGGTGTCATCAATCTCCTTGCCAGGGTCACTCTCGATCAAGGTATCTCAACTCGTAGGGTACTTATGGAGCTAAATGTGGCATCAAATTTTTTACGTTATACTAAGAATGATTTTCATAATTCTTCTAACTGAAAATTATTTCAGTAAAATAAAATAACAGTACCAACACAGATTTAATGAAATACGCGAAAAAACAATCTCTCAAATATGGACGCAATTGTTTTTACCAACTCATCTATCATTAAAAAACATGTCACTTACAACAGGATCATAATATACCTTAACTCTGTATTGTGTATATTGTCACCACGACTACCTTAGGACTTCATCAAGTCGTGATCGCCGGTATAATTCTCGCTGTTACTTGAGATGCGTGATAAAAGAGTTGACTGATAGTAACAACAAAAATTTCGTTGATTTGTAACAGTTATGTACATATACTTCATGCAAATAAGGACTTTGGGTCTTATATACGAAGTCAGTTTTGCTCAATTCCCCTACAGTAGTTCCTCGATACAAATCCAAATAAATACCTTACTATATACTTCTTCTTGGAAAGATTTAACAACCATACTTCCACACTTCATAAAGTATGAGTAATAAACAAAAGTTGGCAAGTCCGTTGGTGTAATTCATCATGTTCTCCGTGGAAGCGGCGGGCATCGGAAATTACGTTTTTAATCTGTTTCCACTTTGTACGTGTAGTACCTACAAAATTCAGTTCCAAATAAGTAGCCGCATGTTCTGATGAAACTTTAAGATGGAAGTTTCTAGATTACAGTGTTTTTAATAAGTTTTTTTTTTCATTTATTTCCAATTACAAGTCCATAAATTTAGTATATAATGTATAAGGTCATTGTGATAGAGCGGAACCTATACTAGGATACCACGTTACAGTACTCCGACCCCCCCCCATTCGGGCTTGACCTATAAATAAATTTAATGTAGGTAAATTTGATACTAATATATTATACACAAGATATCCCAAAGCTATGCGACATATTATAGACGGGATATTTTGGTTTACGGAGACATTATTTCATTTTGAAAAGTAAGTAATACTGCATTCAAATACTTTTTTAAAAGTAAAGTTGCTTGCCTCATCTGAGGACCGACGAAATGTGAAAAAATTCTCTATTTTTAATCTAAAAATTTGGTCGGTATTTGCGGATCAAAAAGGCATACCATGTCGCATAGCCGTGGGATACCCTGTATAATAAACACTTAAAATTTAATGAAAAAAATAAAAAGAAAGAGAAAAAAATAGTGACTTCAATGCGATTCAATGAGATGCAGCGTGCTGGCCACATGACCTCCGTGGTGGAATGGCTTGCACACGGTTTGATCCCCGGCAGAGTCAAAGTAAAAAACAAAATTTCCTAAGTTGCCTGTACGGTCTGGGTATTTGTGGTATCGTAGTTGTTTCCGATTCCATAACACAAGAGCTTTTGTTACTAACTTTGGTTTGATTTCAGATGGAAATGTTGGTCACTCTATGTTTATTATTAGAAGTTTATATTACGTTGGATTATTACTTTGCCAATTAATCTCTAAATAAACGCGATCCTCAGTGCTCTGTATGTTGCAACGATTCCCTGGTAATTCAGGGTCGTAGATGCAATATCCACTGTTAACTTTTTTCAGTCTTAGTACAAAAACGTTTAAGCAGTTGTTTACCAGATGTTTAGAAAAAGTCGTACCATAAATTCTTATACGCGAAAACATAAAATAAGATATTTACGAATTACTCTCCTAACTTTACTAACTAAACGCATAAACGACTAAGTAAACGCATGTTAAAACGGTGATTATTAAATCTTTTGTAGTAAGCCTTCATTTGTTTTCTTTTGGTGGTAAATTTTATATTAAACCTAACTCGAAAATTTAGTAACATAGTCAATCGATGGCATTGAAAAAGGTAGTAAATAATTTATTTAATTTTTACTATTATTTTATTAATCGACTTCCGAAAATAGAGGAGATTTTTTGCGTTTTTTCCGACATTTGTGAACGGATTTCCATAGTTCTTTTTTTGTTGGAATGGGTATACCTTAGTAATGATCCCATTCTAAAGAAAATATTCCACCTGTAAGGGTGGCAAATTAGGGGAAGAAACTGGTTTATTGAATTTCACCCAGTTTCCGTTAACCGATTTCAATAAAACTTGGCAAATCTATGTAATTCCACAAACATTTGAGGTCGGTTTTTGTTTTATAAAAAAGTTATACATAAAGTTCTTGTATTGAGTTAATAAGCGACAATGGTATATTGTGACAAGTTAAATGCTATTGTCGAGACTCGGTGAGTATTTTGAATTAAAACCGGTATTAATAAAAACCGACTATTCAATATTGATGCGAGATCAAGATATCGTACATTTTTGAAATTCCCGCTTAGTAATTCGTTTCTAATGTCATTTGAGAAAACGAGTTTGTGCCTACATGACGTAAAAGGGAAGGTAGATGGACGCTCACCCAACGTGCAAGCGAGCAATCGTTTCGTAGCAATATTTGACTATTTAATTTATGATGTCGTGTTAGAGTGCATTCATATGCAATTTCTATGTATTTTATCAGGGCGAAAATTTCCAAAAGGGAACTTACTTTCAAAATTTCGTGGTATTTAATTCCCTAGTCTGGGCTGACACTACTAACTTTTTCTTCTTGAATCCAATTATCACCACCTTCGCGTTTTTTGTCCATTTTTGATACTATTTATCGATTTAAATACAAAACGCACGAGAAAAGGCGAAAGTTTTTTTCAAAAGAAACAACGTTCATCAACACTACACTCACTATCAGTCCTCACCGAGGGTCAGGTAAAAACTACGTTCCGTTACGCTTAACACAATAACAAAACAGGCTAAACGGTAAAATAAAATAAAAAACATTTTAACAAATTCTTGCATTGTATTGTACAACTTGCAAATAACTTCATATTATTTTATGATAAAACATTTTAAAATTATCAATAAACCACTGTTGGATCTGCGTAAAATAGAAAAGATGGGGACAAGCGGCGAATAAATGAATTCTAGTGCAGCCATAGATAAATATATTTCTGTGCTTATATTTTGCCTACAAAGACTGGCGTTAAACATGGTTTTGTGGTACAACACGTTAAACACTGTTTTAAACAATATTTAAAGAGTTTGGCACTGACTAAGTAAACGCATGTTAAAACGGTGGTTACTAAATCTTTTGTAGTAAGACTGAAGTCATTTATCAATTTGATGTCAGACGGTAAGGCGTTATATATGTATTTTTACACTCATAGCACCGCATTGTTTCTAGTAATAACTTAATTTGCTAGTATATTATACACTAACCTGTCTAGGTTTCTTACATTTCTATTATGAATAGCCCGAGTCTTTTTAAAGAGCTTACTATTGTACTTTACAAATTTTGACACTTCAAAAATATACATGCACGGCAGCGGTAAGATGTTAAGCGATTTAAATGAAGGTTTACATGATTGTGGGGGTCCTAAAACGCAATGTTGCCCTCACGCATTTTTGTGCTACAAATAATTTATTCACATCTGTTGAATTCCCCCACACAATCACCCCGTAATTATGGAAGTAAAGATGCTACGTAGACATGAAATGCCTCTAAAATTGTAGACATACTTGAAGTATTACGTAATCGTTTTAGAACATAAACATAACGATACAGATTATTTCTTACTGTATCAATGTGAAGTTTCCATTCAAACTTATCGTCTATCGTTACCCCTAAAAACTGTGTGTGTTCTACTCTACTTCTTGTACAATTTGTCCTTTGTAGTTAATTTTCAATTCTAACTTATGGTGTCTGATAGTCCCAAATTGAATGTAGTTTGTTTTACTAAAGTTCAATGTCAAGTTATTATTGTTGAGCGAAATAACTAACTAATGCAATTGTATTGTTTATGTCCGATTCGTAGTTTACTATATTGTCTTCATATGGTATCGTTGTAGAAATGTCATCTGCAAATAATATACATCTGTGTTGTGGTATGTCAGGTCAGGTTGTGTATTGGCACTCAAAAGAGCTAAAATTTTCTGCACAAATATTTTGCGTGGCCGCTGGCGAGAATCAACAACAGGACCATGAAATTATAAAAAAGAACGTGTTTATTTTAAAGTTTCAAAAGATCTAATTCCAACAGGAGTAAAATTATAAAAAAATATTATTTTTAAAGATTTAATTCCAACAAGAGAATGAAATTAAAAATCATATTTATGATTATTTAATTGGTACTTAATTCTAACAGAAGTTTAAAATTATGAAAAATACAGTAGTGATTTTAATAAATTCTTAATTACAACGGAAACGTGAAATAATATAAGATTATATTATATGGATCATTTTAAATGTACTTAATTCCAATAGGAAAGTGTAATTATAAAAAGAATATTATTGTAAAATGCTTAATTTCAACAGGAGAATGAAGTTACAAGAAAAAAGCATTCTTATTTTACAATGCTTAATTTTGACATAAACAGTAATTATAAGAAATACATGAATATTTTAAAATACTTCATTCCAATGGGAGAATGAAATTATTAAAAAAAAAAGATTCTTTTAGAACTTAATTCCAACACAGGCATGTAGTATCAGAAGCACATTTCCCATGCTTGTAACCCGCCAGCATGCAAACTAAGTCGCAATCCAATTGTGTACAGCCAACTGAATTTTTGACGCTTTCCATATTCAAGGTCTTCAAGCCATTCAAGGGTATCATCACTTGCTCTAAAAAAAAAAAAAGAATATTTAGCTATTGTGAAATGCCCATGCCGCCAAATGACGGCAAAAAATATCGTATCGTACCTAATAAGGCCAATAAAGATAAAATGCAGGTTTTTAACAAAAATACGTCTTAAATATAACACGGTAATGATTTTATTGAATATTATGATGTTTTACTACCATGATATTCATTTCCTTTTTGTGAAATTACTAATGACGGGACACTTTACTTTATGAAGAATACATTTTCAATTCGCGCAATTTGTTTATTATTCTCTAACAAAATTCAATCAATTGATCGACAATGAAATATCAGACGTCAACATTAACATTCTAAATACAAAATATTTCAAGTAGATCCAAAGTTATGATAATAATAATTGAGACAAATCTATTGTCACTTCATAACATGTGTTGATGTGAAAATGCTTATGTTGTAATGAAAACAAATATTTTTGCTTATTCGGCGACATTGATACCTTTGGGTCAAAAAGTACTGTTGGACCCATTCTAGTAACCTGTTTAAACGGTGGGAAGAATGAATTCCTAAATTATCACGAAAAAATCAGGTTATCCCTATAGTTTCTCTTTACAAACGCTATATGAGGTGGCGTAAAATAGGAGAGGAGTTGTGTAACAAAAAAATATTACCTTATTTAAAATTGTATTTTATGTATTTACAAAAACAAACAAATAATCAAAATTTGGGCTTCCATACTGACTTTCGATCAATATAATGTGTTTTGCTAAAGCTGAACAGCCAACTGAAAATATTGTCGGACTCTTATGCTTTGTATAAAATTGAATTGGGGAAAATAAACTACGTGTCTGTCTTTCCATTCTAAGTTATTAATAGAATCTGGAAAAGATATTCATCACAAGCGCAGCTATTTTGCACGATTTAACCTTCACTGGGTTCGCGGAGTAGCAAATTAATTTACTTCCAATTTTTCTTTCCATTCTATTATGATGGCGTCGTACATGCGATAGGAAACTCACCGACAGTCACAGAAATTGTATACTATGGGAATTCACACTGGCTTTATAAATTGGGTTGTGTTACATAATATTGTTGGAGGAGTTGGAACACTCATGTCAATCTGTTTAGGTTTAAGGTAAAGTACATCTATGCCTACCGCTTTTGTAACTAATAAATAAAAAAACACAAATAGTAATCTAAGCTCACCGTTTTCATCACGAATCTGTATGATCTGGATAAACTTGCCATACGCGGAGAAGACCATCACAACGAGAAGTAGAACAAAAATCGCCTTCATTTTTTATTATTGAGGCTGAAACAAACGACCTATTGTTAAAATTACATATGTATTTTTTTTGTTAAAGAACTTTTGTTATATATTTCGGAAATAACTTTTAGCTATACTAAATTACTAGGTCAGTATTTTTATAATTTACAAATAATACAAAAAAAATACCAATAACAAAAGAACTATATCCCTTTTTCAAATAATTATTTTATTACTTCTAAGCTCTACGTTTAAAGTATCTATGTAAAACTGAATTATTTGTAACCTACGTTTTTAAAAATTGAAACGACTGCTCCGAATGAACCTTGAATCCCGAATGCACGGGATGTGATGATTCTTGAAAATATGTTACCGATAGAGTTCAGGAATACATTCAAAAACAGTCAGCATTATATATTACCAGTTATACTAACGACGGAATAATGTTCAAGCTAAGTGCAACATCAATGTAGTCAAAACACGAAGTAAGCATTCCTACAAACAACCTACTCAGTATGGAGCAAAAAAAGGCATGAACCTCTACTATTATTGCCGACCGTTATTAAGAGTCAAAGGTTATTCGAGTCGAGTGTTAAGCTTATCGCATGCATGTGACTTTTGTAGTGCAGACAGGTCAATTCTGTAAGTATTTGCAATTAAAAACCAAATTCTTAAAATAAAGTTTTGAGATAGTCGTCGTGAGTATTTCGGCGCGCGTGTGAGTTGTTCTAGTTTTCTTAAAATTCTTATCAACATATACTCGTATAGAGCAGATTCAATATTTCCATTTAATTATTAATCGGTTTTTGCCTGATAGTATAAATTTATTTTAAGAAATATTATTTGCATTAAAAACATTTTCAAAATTCCGTATTTAAAATTGAACTCTACGCCTACGACATAAACTTTTGAAATACGGGAAAGTTTTGTATTTTAGTATACTGAAATAGCTTTTAGCTTAGAAGACCGAAAAATAAAGGTTGGCAAACGTTGGTCTACAGTAGTTCATGTGCGGGAAGCCTAAAAGTTTAGGCAATTTAAAGTGCCAAGCATTTTGTTCTGCACGCGTACGTTTTTCTCTGTTATGAAATGTTTATAGGTATGTGAATGGTGGACGATGTTCGCAATATGCTCGCTGGTACCAAATTTGTCTTCAATAAATTTTACATCTATAATTATGATATTAATTAGTCTGCAAGTTTTCGTTTAACTACAAGTCCTATCTTCATCATTCTAAGGGGTGTGTAACGGTTATTAGAAATGGTTTTCAGTCGGCCTAGTTTTAAGAAGGTGTCTATTTATTTTATATCGCTTAGAGAGTCGCGCTTCGTTCTTACGTACAAACTTTATTATTATTATATTTGATATTATTATTATTACAAATATATAAATACTTTATTGCACATTGGGACAAATCCAAATAATTATTATATATAAAAATAACAATAAAAAGACAGTACAACAGGCAGCCTTATAGCTAGATAGCAATCTCTTAAAGACAACCTTAGCGTTAATTTAATATTATTGTCATATTTACATACATTAAGTGAGATAATCAAAAGTACCACCTTAAGATACTGTAATAGCCTTAGCCTTCCTATACCTGCGCATAGGTCTCTCAGAGCGACGGCGACGATTATCGTTTGCCGGGTTTTTTTTTTAACAGAAAACGTTAGAGCTTTGGACTCACTGGTAGCTGCATGATTCGTGACTACATTTCAGCGTAACAGGCGTATTCGTTTATACAATACATATACCCGTACATGACACCGACCGGTCCCATAGACCGACACGAGTATATGTAACAGTTCTAAGTTATTAATATTTTTAATAATTCCTATATTTACGTATTATTTTTAATTACCATTGAGTTTACATTATGTATTATATTTGCAAATTATTTTAGGTTATATTTTATTACCTATTTCATGTATGAGGAAAGCATGAGAAGGTTTTTGGAAGAGGATGATTCTGATTCAAAAATAACAGTGCCTTTGTGGTTCATATAGAAGTGAATCAAGTAAGAAATGACACAGAGCAGGAGGTAGTTTTGAAAGTGAGGAGAAATTTCTAGTCTATTAATATAACCTAGGCAAAGATAGTCAAACTAAGTGGACTAAAATGCTCCATCGATGACAGTAAGAAGTATATTATTTTGTTTTATTTATTTGGCACAGCTACAGAACACAAACTAGAAACTTCACTATAACAGGTAGATACATAAAAAATGTTAGTAAGTTTGTATTCCTTTTACAGCTGTGCGCAACATTTGAATGACCTACTTAAAATGAGACATTACGGAAAATAATCTTACTACAATTCTTAAAAGCAATAAAAACAGAAAAAATAAATAAAGAAAACTGCACAGAAACACAACTCAACAGCAGTGAACAGTTACTCATAAATGTTTTATGATTCTGAGAGAACATATTTACATCTCTACAAATATCATTATAAGTTCTACACATCCGAAAGACAGGGTTATTATAGGTGACATTAGGCACAGCAAGGTAACGGAAACAGTCTTTGAACACGCATGCTGCCGGTCCTAAACACGTGGCCTAACAGTTCACTGGCGTCCAAATTATAATTAATAATTTTGTACGAAGTAGGGACATCCTGCCATACCCACCTAACATGTAGAGGAGTAACCTAAAAAAATTAGAGTCTCGCCTCATAATCCACCAGTTTACGGCGCATTCCAAGTTTAGTGCATAAGTTCGTAAGTAGTCGCCTCTGAATAACCTCGATTCGGTCAATATGAATTTTATTTTTTTTACTACTGAGCAATACTCCAAACAGCTGCGCACAAAGAAAAAAACAGTTGTAGTATATTATCCGGCATCCGAAACGGTCTTACCAATCTTTGAATGAATCCAAACATTTTGTTAGCCTTTACTACAATATGATCATAATGATATGAAAAGCTTAATTTGGAGTCAAACAGCACTCCAAGGGCATTAGTAACATTTTTGCGCAATAAACTAATATCATTTTTTATATAATTGTACTGAATATATGATTTATTTTTAGTAAATGTACTAATGTGACATTTTTCAATATTTAATGACATATTATTTTTGATACACCAATAGAGCCGATCTAGATCAGCCTGTAGGTTGATACAGTCATTTTCCGTATATGTTAAGGAATATATTTTTATATCATAGGCATAAACAAGGCAATTAGAGTTAACAGAGTCAACAAGGTCATTTATAAACAATGTAAACAATAGGGGGCCTAATTTAGAACATTGTGGAATACGTGATGTAGAGTCAAAAAGAATTAGGAAGAAGGAATTTGAGCAAGATATATAAAAAAAAATTTGTATGCAACATGCTATTTCATTTATGGTTTTAAAAATGATATATATATATATGGGAAATGAAAAATAATTAAAATAATTTAAAAAAATAATTCCGGATTTAAATCGCGTATATTTGTTTTTTGACATATATACGCGATTTAAATCCGGAAAAATAGTTTCATTTCCCATGTGTAACAATCGCGAAAACCTTAGAACTCGATATATATATATCTATTGTTGTTGTTGTATTATATATATATATTGTTTGACATTTCATTTTTTTTATTTTGATACTATAAAAAAGAATGTTTTTGTTCAAGTTTTTGTAGCTCTTAGAAATATTGTAATTTACCAATGGCTATAATAAAAGACTGCTTATCTCTAATAAAAAAAATATTTTATATAAAACTTTGCTTGATCCAATTTTACACATTTCCTTTTGACATTAAACTTAATTTTACGGTGATATTTTACTAAACAACATACTAAAATGGCCCTCGAACTTTCGATCTCACAGACCGTGCGCGGGTATAATATGTGCTACACTATTTGGCGCGGGTATGGGAAGGTTAAGAACCATCCTAATGAATTGGCAAAACAGTTGACAATCCGAGGTTACAACAAAAGGCTCATACGAAAAGACATACCCCCGTTGGAGTGATGTAGTGTGTAAATAAAGGGGAAGAAACTCACAGTGAAGAGTTCGCCTGCATTGTCGTAACCGATTATCAACATATTTTCTAATAGTGGCACTGATTGCAAATGATTCGTTAAACAAAAAATAAATAAATAGAAATGGGAGAGTTATAAAATTTCACATTATAGATAATTTGCTTCATGCAGTTTGTACTATTTTGTGACTTTCAAGTTATGAAAGCACTTTGATGTATGATTACATGCGGTTTTATAATACCAACGGCATGAATTATTCCTCTAACATTTTTACACAGAATCGATTCACACGTGTCATAAATCGACACTACATTCTGCGGCGGTGTCATTTATGGGGAAATCCACAAAAAGGGTTGGTAGATAGACATAATCCCCCTGTCAGTTAAACTTGGCACTATTATAACTAGATTTAACAAAAAGGTGCGACCATATTATTTCCGATAGGCTGCACAGTTCGGCCCCTTTATCACAAATGAACGTAACTTATTGACGAAAAAATTTATTCATAACTCGTTTCAGAATCTCATTTCCAATGTAGTGATGTAAATAATACATTTTTGTTAAAATCTAAGTAAGAGCGACACCACGGCGGCGTTGCGTCGTCGTTTCAAAGTTTTATGTTGCTTGCGGTGGTGGCGCGCCATTTGAACGCACCGTGTGGCATGTCGTTCTGATTTATATGTAGTACAACGCAGCGTCACAACGCAACACATCTTGTGGCATCGCGCTCTAATGTGCACTGACTGTTTTTTAACATGTTCCTGAACTCTTTCGGTAACATATTTTCGAGGAATCGTCACCATTCGATATTGAAATATCATTCAAAGCAGTTGTTTCAACTTTTAAAAACGTAGGTTATAAATTCTTTTCTACATAAGTTCTGTTACAAACGTAGAAGCGTGAAACCATAATTAACTATTTTGAAAAAAAAAGTTGTTATTGTTGTTGTTGTTGTTGCCAGCACAAATCGCGTTTGAGTTGCGTGTTGTATGCGATGAAAAAAAAATTGTTATTATGTAATAAACGTAATAAATAATTATAGAGAGAACTGAAATAATGAATAATGGCGCAGCTAAATACCTTTATTAAATTGGGTTAATGTTATATTAATGAATACCTTTGGGTGTGTAATTAACTCAAAATAATTAATTCAAAATATTTTACTATTTCTTACATCAAGTATTCGTTAATTATGTAATCAACTTCTTAACCCTTAATCAAATAAAAGTTAATTATGTACCGCTATATTTTTTTCGATTCGATTACTATGTTGCTACATTCTCAAATTCTAATTGTATTGTGGTAAAAAAAATATTTATCCCCAATAGAAGACATGACATATTTAAACTTTCAC